CTCTTATAAATAAGATTTTTGATGAATAATGAATTTTTACATGAATTGTAATTTTTTAAATTTTAATTATAATAATTTTTTAAGAATCTTTTAAAATTCTACATTAATCTTATTGGGTGATATTGTTATTAAGTGAAAAGTATTTATTAATCAAAAATTGAAAAGCTTAATGCTTTGGACCAAAATTTTTAAAATAATTTAAAAAATTTTTTTTATGTATATAAAATATGTAATGTGCCCATTTTTTTAAAGTATAGATGATATGGTTAGAAGAAAATGAAAGTGATTATAGTAAATTTAAAGTCAACATTCTTAAAATTATATTATGGAAAATATTTTCTGACATTTTTAGGATTACTGTGTACGTAAAAATTATGAAAAATAAGGTGCTCACATCATTTTCTTAAATTATGTTTTACAGATAAAGTTTCTGTAGAACAACGATCATTATGTAATCACCTGTCATCGCTTTGTCAATTACATAAAACATGGCAATGTCAGTTAAAAATACAGCTACTGTTTTGTTTTTAAAATACGTTTGTTATTTTAAACTTAAAGTAAATAATATTTTTTCAAATCAGATTAATTATGCTCTAAATCAGCTAATAAAGTTTCAGAAAAGTATCTTATTTTTGGAAGATTTATTAATACAGAGAAGTACATTGCAATGAGAGACGACTAAAAAAGGTCTATAATCAGCTATTTTTGGGGGCAGGGGAATCGATTCAAATCAATATAATTTATGTTTGGAATATACCAAAGTACTTTTGCTTATTAGAAATAGTGAATGTAATCCTTTTAGCTTTCAATTAAAGCTAAAATGAAAGCTTTTTCATTTTATAAAAATTTATGTGAAATCTTAGATATTATGAATTAGTGGAGGTACTTACTAAATTAATGAGATATTCATAATCAAGTAATAATTGAATCTAATTTTCAGCTACTTTAGCTATTTAGATAGGAAAACAATGGCAAAGGGGATAAAACTTTTTGTGTGTCTTGTTTTTATACACACACACGCTTTCATTGATTTTCCTAATATTGTTTTGGTATATAAACATCTATGTATAAATTTATATATATGTGAAAAAGATATGTAAATTTTTATATGCTAGAACAATATTAAGAAAATCTATGGCAAATGTGGGGGGAGGGACATGGCACACAAAAACATTTTTCACACATGGTCTAATAATCATTTAAGTTATAACTGGTGCAAACTAAATTCTTTCACTTTCACACAAAACCTCACCCTATCAACATATGGACAACTACCAGTAATAAATAAAAAACACACACACACACACACACTATGAACCAAATCCTGCATAGACCAACTAGAATTATGATACAGAAACACACAACAATTATATACATGAACACTACTTGACAAGACAAATGCATGTGAGGCCTACTTAACCAATGAAAAAACACACAAAAATAAAAAAATACCAGATTTTCTTTCCTCCTTTGTATTTTATTTTCTGATTTCACTTAAATCAAAGTCAAATATGTTAAATTTGTTTCCTATTTGTTCCTTAGCACACACACACACACACATATATATATATATATATATATATATATATATATATATATGGGAATGGTTTGGGAATCATATATATGAAAAATGACCTTATGACACTCATGTAGGTTAAAACAATTTAGACTAAATTCACAAATTATACCGTATCCTCTATTCAAGGATTGGCCCTTTACTAATGTTCATGATCCCTTAAAAAAAAAAATCTGCACACATGCAATCCTCTACACCCTCCTCCAGGCATGTCTGAAAATTCCAATTTTTAACATTTTTTTCATTGTGCTTCTAATTTTGTCTTATGGCCAAATAAGTATTATTCTGTATTTAGAATTTCTTTCCTCTACTATGTGTGTGTTGCTGGAAAAATTCTTGGCAGGATTATATTGAAAAGACTCAAGTCTTCTCTGCCCCATTCAGTCTTACCTGAATCTCAATGCAGTTTTCGGTCTGGTAAAAGCACTGTGAACATGATTTTCAGTTTGATGCAACAACAGGAGAAAGCATTACAGTAATTTCTTTATTACTTTCATTGATCTCACTAAGGTCTTTGATATTATTTCAAGGGATGCTCTTTGGGTGTTCCTGAAAGGATGCTCAGTGTTATGTCTTTTCATCAGGGGGATGAGGACCTCAGTTAGATGCTGTGGGCAGGTGTCAGACCCATTTATTGTTTTTAATGGAACAAAACAGGGTTGTGTTCTTGCACCTCTTTTATTTGCTTTGCATTTTTCTCTCATACTGGAAAGAGCATTTGAATGTTAAAGAAGGTGTGAGATTTGAATTCAGGACAACATTGCTTCAAAACAAGAACTAAGGTAATTGTACAAACTGTTTGGGACCTGCTCTTTGCAGACAATTGTGCACTTGAGGATGGCAATGGATTGTTAACAAATACTCTCATTTATCAAAAGCTTTCGGTCTGATCATCAGCCTATCTGTAGCCATCCCCCCAGCTGTTCATCCCACTGTTTAGGTTTAGGGAAATGTCTTTCACTTATCTTGGCTCCAGTGTATCTAAAGATTCTAAAATGGACAAAGAAATTGAGTGCAAGATTGGAAAAGCTAGTTCTACCTTTTGGTAATCTTTATCCCAGGCTTTGGAATACCTCTGATGTTTTGTTAAAGGTGAAAATTGATGTGTACAAGCCAGTAGTACTGACATCTCGACTCTATGGTGCAGAATCTTGGACTCTGTACTGACAACACATCAATCAACTTGATGCCTTCCATGTGCGTTGTCTATGTGCGATCTGCAACAGAAAATTGAGTGACCACATTAGAAATAGTGGAGTTTTGACTAAATGCAACATGACTGGTATTGAAGCCAGACTTCCAAAATGACTCTTCTTTGGCCAGTTTCTAACAAACAGGTCAGTTGGAAGGCCATTCTTGTGTCTCAGACCAACTCAAAGCCAATCTAAAACAATGCAGCATCCCCTTTTCTTCTTGGGTAAACAAAGTATCAGAGCGAAGGAGTTGGCACCTGTCTTGCTTCTCATCTATACAAAGAGTTGAGCAAGGTGGACTTTAACATTGAGATCAACTGCATGCAAATATTAAAGAAAGTTGGCAGCATGATGCTCCTCTTAATGATAACCTTACTTGCCACTCTAGCTTTGTCACACGTAGTAAAGTAAGCCATTTGTGGAAACATGTGACAATTGATCCTCAACCACTCAAGCAAAATGACTCAACCACTTGTTCCATCTGTCTAAAATTTTGGTAAATACCTGCAGGCCTTGGGAAATGCATGTGTCCATAAAAGTTGAGCACTTCTTTATCTTACTGAGCCCTCATTTGTCGTCCATGATATATATGTGTGTGTGTGTGTGTGTGTGAGAGTGAGTAATAGATTTGTCATTTAGCTGATTGATGTTACCTTCAGCATTTTGATTCCAGAGTTTCTTAGACTGACCCCCTGACTCTCCAGGAATTACACCATTCACTCCTCTGTGTGTGTGTGTGAGTAATTAAGCAACAAGTGTTCTCTTAAATGTTTTATTGAAAAGTAAAGACATTTAATGATGTTTTGCAAAACTTGTTTTAAAATAGTTCTAATTTAAAATATAGTGACATGTTAAATATACCACTTATGGTTTTTGTCACCTTATTTTACTTCTTGTTTTTAATGGTTATAAACTCACTAGCTACACACTCCTGATGATAACTCACCCAAGTCAAAAGCTTGAACATGACAATTATAAAGATTTTGGAAATTTCATTCATCTAACCCCCGTCCCCATATACACATTCATATACATAGCCATACGTATATTTAAATAAAAAAAATATTGAAGTTTAAAATTTCAGCATCCCCTCTTCTTTATACATGTGTAGTCACATCAATGTAAACATCAGTTTAGTCCAATCAAGTTCAAAAGGATACAATCTATCAAGTGAAAAAAAAAAACAATCTTTGTCATATATAATTAATAGAATTAAAAGGTTTTTCACTTAGCTGATTGATGCTACTTTCAGCATTCTGATTCCAGAGTTTCATAGACAGTCCTTCCATTTACTCCTCAGTGGTTATCAACAATTGACTGTTTATACTTCTCGATTTTTCTATTTTTATATGCACTTTTCATTAGTGCAAATTCTTTGTTTTTCTAATAATGTGTGCATGTGTTTTGCCCATGTAGAATATTGAGATATCTAATATATATATATATATATATATATATATATGAATAAAAAGAGACAAGAGGAAGAACTATTCTTAGCCAATGCATTTCATCCTCTGAGGGTCTTTATCAAGGCAATGCATGATTTATCTTGTTGCACATCTTTATATACAAAGAGGGGGGTTTTATATATATATATATGCACACACATTCTCAGAGTATCTGTAGAGGAGACAGAATGAATAATCTAACCTTTCCTGAAATAATTACTTCTTTCCCAAGCTAACATACACAACCACAAATATGTTGAAAAATCAAAAGAAAACTACTAAATCCATCACCTTGTGTCCTTGAAGATGCATAGCGCATATGTCCATCTCATACCATAAAAATTTAATGAAAATCTAAACAATATTCAAAAAACAAAGAGATAATTATTGAATTTTAATCACTCAATTTACTTTTTGTCAGTCTTTGAATTATGTCACTTTGTGCCCTCCATGTTCTGACAGAAACTTTCATCCACCTGTAGAATGTTGTCAAATTTAAAAGCCTTGAAAAACCAAAGACATCTACAACAAAAATACTACATTGCCTGGATGAAGTCCCTCAAAAGACAAAATGCCTTGGCGAAGAATAGTTTTCCTCTTGTCTCTTTTTTATTCATTATTTCATTCATATATATATATATATATATATATATATATATATATATATATATATATTATTATTTTTTTTTTTCTTTTTTTTTTTTTTTAATAAATATCTTTTTTTTTTTTCTTTTTTTTTTTTTTTTTTTTTTTTTTTTTGTTTTGTTTTTATTATCTTTCCAGGTTGACCGGAAAAAAATGGATGTTCTTAATCGCTGGCAGAAAAACTACACACTCAAACATTTACTAACTGAAATAAGGCGATTGATGATGGCGAAGGAGAATCAGAAGTTATCACAGCCCCAAGATGGGACTGTCTACTCTTGCACACAGTAGCTCCTCTCTGTCTACCTCTCTCTCTTACAACTCTAGCAGTGGGGAAAGAAGCAACTTCTCCTACACCACCACCACCACTACAACAAGTACTATTAAACATTTGTTGCCAACAGCTACAACCAACACCACCACCACCACCACCACTCCCCCCTTCCCAATCTGTTCATGCTCTTCTCTCTTTGCGAAGATTGCATTTTATATATATATATATATATATATATATATATATATATAATAGACACAGCTGATGTTATGATCAATGATATAACACCTTTTACTTACTCTGTTTTATGGAAGGAAAGTAATGTAACTGAATTGTTTGTTTCCTTTATCCTCTTCAATCCAGTTTTAAGATATGATACCAAATCATATTTTCTCAGTGTTGTAGGATTTCTGTACCTTCTCCCTCATGTGAGGAGCCATGACGCTTATTCTTCCTTATTTGCAAAATAGGAAGAAAAAATAAAACCCAAAGAAAACCTAATTTCTACAATAAAGAAACTAGGTGAAAAATAAGATTTTTTTTTTTTTTTTTTTTTTTTTTTAAATCTGCCACAAGTCTCTCCATTTTGTGTGCATAGGCATTTCTTATTTGTCTTTTATTTTTTAAAATAAATTGTTCAAATCCAATATCTGGATTTGTGTATTGGTCTTTGCTTCTAAGCCACAATGTTTTGATAAGTGATCTGATCTCCATGTGGAAATAAATCCTTACCAATTACTGATCACTCAGCCCCCCCCCACACACACACAGTGCTATCTTCTAAGATTTCTTTGTATCCAGCTTTTCATTCGAATCATTTTTTTTCTTTTCTTTTTCTAATGGAGTGAAATTAATTCTCCTCTGCCATTTTAACTTTCCACTGGTTATGTTTTTGTAGATCTACCTAAGAACCAATCTTAAATTCTTTTTTCCTGAATGGCTTTTTTTTTCCTGTGCTCTTGACTACATTCTGTTTCTCTCTCTCTCACATGTGTGTGCGTACACACACACACACACACACACACACACACACACACACATGATAACAAGAGATTTTTCCCTCAGAGACTATGGCTCTGAAATAAAAACTAAATTATAAGAATGCTGAACATATTGCAACATATCAGTAAAGTGCACACTCCTGTTGGTTTTGTGTATTATCCAGTATCCATGGCATGCTTTCTACCTGAAAAAGATGACTTCACTGATCAAAATATTGTGGTTCTTTGAAGAAAAAAAAAAAAAAAAATTTTTTACACACACACTATATATATATATATATATATATATATATATATATATATAACAAAGATGAGTGTACTTGTGTCAGAAAACTTGGCTGGGTCTATCTCTCTATTCATTTATTTTTCCCACTGTAATTAAGTATACAGTGTTGCCTGTACCTTGGGGAAGCAACAATAATGTATATGATGCTAGACTGTTTTAATTTTTCTCTCTCTCTCTCTTTCACTTTTTTATGCTTTATATAATGCCCTTCCTCCCCCATCAAATCTCTTGTTTAACAAAAGTCTTTGATAATAAATATTTTCAAGAAAGATAAAAATTAACATGCTTTTTTTAATAACTGCAAAAGGAAAAAAAAAAAAAAAGTATTGTTTCTCTCTAACTTGCCTAGTTTTCTTTCCTCTTTTTTTTTTTTTTTTTTTTAATTAAAAACCTGATCTCTGATCGACATTCCTGTGAAATAAAGTAATAAAAAAAAAAAAAAAAAAAAAAAAAAAAAAACTATAAAATCCACTATTGCTTTTAAAGCAGAATAACTCTTTATATACAATCCATTTTGTAACTGTCTCCAGAATAATTAATATAGACTATTTTCAGAACATTTATTTTCTTTGGTTATTTGCATTTTTTAAATTTTTTTTTTTTTTTTTTTTTTTTTTTTTTTCAGTCTAGTAGTCTGTTTTTTATTTGGACTCATATCCTGTATATACATTTTGAAAAATATCAAACTCCAATTGCCTAGTGTAAAAAAAAAAAAAAAAAATAAATAAATAAATGCAGAATCATAGCAAAGGGTGCGTAATCATCCTATGCAAGTATTCAGGTATCTCTCTCTTCTCTAGCAAATATCTTCTTTAAATAAATTCTCCTTGGGGTGGTAGACAAATTTTATAGTCAGAAGGCTTATTTCATTTTAATAGAAATATGATCATATGGTCTTTCTTCCCTTTAACCTTTTTTTTTTTTTTTTTTTGTTTTTTTTCTTTCTTCATACATACTATTATATGTATATATTTGTTGAAAGACTTTAAAGTGAATATGCAGAATATGTGGTCAAATTTATAAAATTTGTTTATATTTTTTCTTTTAAGTGTTACTTCAGTACATATTTTTATTGCATTTTATAGACTTGGATTCAGAGAACACTACATGGCCCATATAAATGTTAATTTGTCAGTGAAAACCATTCATTTCAGAACAAATGATGTCAAAAAAAATGCTAATCTCAAAGGTTAAAGTTATTTATTCACAGTATTTAGAAAAAGATCAGTTTAGTTAAGCTCATGCAAATAATGCAATGTTCATTTTAAAATAACTTTATGCATTGGAAAAGAAACTTTTCAATTTTGGAATTGATGGTAGTGATTCCATTATTTATCACTGCAAAGTTAAAGAAATATAGACTTGAGTCTTATAGCAAAATTCCTTATAAATTCTACATAGAAAAAAAATTTTTTTTTTTTTTTTCTTAGCCAATAAATCCTGATAAAATGTATTTAAGCTTAAAATCAACTATGCAATACCATTCTGTATTTGAGAAGTCTTTTTCTGTTAGTGCTTAAAATTTCTGTTGTGAACTTCTTGTGAAGAAATGAGCTTTTTTTTAATTTTTTTCTCTCTTTCCAAAAAGATTTGCATGTCTTGCGAATCACCAGAGACGTCCGAGTCTTGGATTATACTGGCAAATACTCATGCCATTAAATTTTTGTTTTTAAGCTATATTCTTTGGCAGTTGTAACACTTCTATAACCAATGATTAATGGATGAACTAATAAAAGAAATCTTGAGAGTTGCATTGCCTTTAGCATGGGCTTGAAATGTTCTTTATAATGAAGTGAAGTTATATGATGTTTTTAAATAAGTTTTCCCAGAAGGCAAGGCATAAAGTTTGATAGATAAATGTTACTGGTTTTTCTTTTCCAAGGGACTTGGAAAATGTAATGCAGCTGGAGACTCTAGGATTGTTTAAACAAAAATAAAATAAGAAACCTTAATAGGATTTTACTCTTATAAAATCTCTTTCTCTCACACACACACACACACACACACACACACACACACATATATATATATATATATATATATATATATATATATATATATATATATAATGCACATTTCATTGAATATGACAAGGTGCTTTGATTTAGTTTTTTATACAATTTCTCATGTGATCTAATTTTTTTTTTTTCTTTTCGGATGATAAATTATATAAAAGCTGTCCAATTGTTCTTTTTATCCAAGCGCTTTTGGCTATACATTTAGCCATTTTTGAGGAAGCCTTATTGATTTAAAAAAAATACTCAATAATATCAACTATGAACATGGACACAATATCTTGACTGTGTTTTGAAAATGAAAACATAAATACATACATACATACAACAAACCATTTCTTGTTAACAGTTAATATATTTCAACCTTGAAAATGGCTGAATGTATAGCCGAAAGTGCTCTGATAAAAAGAACAACTGTATAAAAAAAACTAAATCAAAGCACCTTGTCTGTCGTATTCAATGAAATGTGCATGAAAGAAGGATTGTTGCCTAAATACACAAATTTTAAATATATATATATATATAATTTTTTCACTCTATTTTTTTCTCTTCCTCTGATGGTAATGTTGATACAAAAAAAAAATTTCATTACTTTTATTTTGTGTCATCGTGACAATCACCAGAAATCTTAAAGTTATTTGTCCTGGGTATAAAGAGGACATTTTTTTTCCTGCTTCTTTTTGTACACTTGGTTACGAAGAGGGAGAAAGTGCTTCTTTTTCTAAAAGAAGAAAAAGAAACATTAACTGTTATTAACTCCCTTCCTCCTACTTCTCCTCTCATTCATTTTGTTGTGCACTTCCTTCCATTGTCCCATTCTTTAAAAGGGGCTTAAAATTTTGCAATACATATTGATGATCTAAAATGCTGTGTGACAGTCTCATGTAGGCTGCTCTGTTCAGATTCTATGCATGGAATTGTAAACTGACATGCATCTATGGATTTACACACTGGTCATAGTGAACGAAACACATGCCCTCCTTCCTCTCTCTCTCTCTTCCCTCCCCCCCTGTATAAAAAAGTGAATGAAAGCAGATTGGTCAGTGTGAGAGGGTCTAAGAGAATGCATGTCAAATATTTTTTATTTTTTTGCCAGACCTCATATTCTAATAATACATTTTATATTCTCAACATTTTTTTCTTTCTTTCAAGTCAGTCACAATCCAAAGGTTATCCCCTTTTCCAAGTCCATTATCATGGATATTTAAACTTTAATAGAAATAGGCTTTTTATTTTCTTTTTTTCTCTTCTCCTTTCTCTTCTCCTTTCTCTTCTCCTTTCTCTTCTCCTTTCTCTTCTCCTTTCTCTTCTCCTTTCTCTTCTCCTTTCTCTTCTCCTTTCTCTTCTCCTTTCTCTTCTCCTTTCTCTTCTCCTTTCTCTTCTCCCTCCTCTTCTCTCTTCCCTGACTTAAGGAAAACTTTGCAACGTTGAAAATTTACTAAGTTTATATAAAATATGTGGTCAAATAAAAAGAAAAATGCGTGTCTGTATATAATGTATTAAATTGTGTTTGTCTATATATTTGTGTGTGAAAGTAAATGTGTGTGTATTGAAATTATTTTTTTTTTTTTTTCTTATGTGTTTAGTCATTCTTTCACGTGTGTGTGAAAAATATCCAACATGACTGTCCCAATGAAAATGTTTTCTCCTCTTCACTGACTTTTTTTTTTTTTTTTCTTGCTAAATTAGTGAAACAAAAATGATTCTACAAGAATTATTAAAAATTGAAGGGATGGAATTATACAACAAAACCATATAATTCCTATCTTTGAGATGATTTTTTAATTTAATTTTTGTAATTTTTATTTTTCTCAATAGTGTTACTTGGTGCTCAGAAGAGTGTGGATGCATTTCACGTATTCCAACTGTGATTTTTTTTTTTTCTTCTTCTTCCCCCCCCTTGTGACCTTGAATAACCTCAGGTGATGACAAAACACTGGACACTACACACACTCATACAGACACACACAAACACGTTTGTTCAGTGTTTTTTTTTTTTCTTTTTAAAAAAAAAAAAATCAAGGTGGCAGCGGGTACATCCACCCTGTTCCATGCATCTTGCTACCCTGTTATATCAGGTTGGTCTGTTGGCTTCTGATTTAAAACTGGGTGGATCTCTTTAAAATAAATAAAATAAAACGATGAAAATTTTAATGTTTTGCTCTGCCATTTAAAGAAAAGAAAATGACAACTTATAAAAATGACAAGAAGAAAATCTCTCTGTTTTTTTTTTTTTTTTTCATTTTTTTTTTTTTTTCTTTCTCTTTGTTTATGCATATTTGAATTTGGCTTTTAGTCATAATTGATTACTCCTCAAATAAAGCTTAAATTGTTTAAGCTCACCTTTCCTGTGTCCACTTTTCCTTACATTTTCTACAGGTGCAAACAGCTTTACTTTTTCTTCCTGATATTTTGAAACTATTTCTTGGTCAACAACTTACAATCAGGGGATCTCTCCCCTCTCTCCTCAACAGATTTCAGTATGTGTGTGTGTGTCTTATATATCTACTTGTTAGGGTTGTAAAGCCACCACATTCTACTACAGCTATAGAAACCATGGCTTCCAAACTCCTTCAGGCTGGTTTTGAATTCGGTTTTCATTCACTTAGAATGGCTGCTAACAAAGGCAAGAGTTTGCCCTGCTATTAACCCATAGCTTGAGAAAGATGGATTTCTGCCTCTTCCAATGCCATTAGTGTTAAAGAGAATGAAGTGGAAATTGAACTCTCCGCACCTATAGCTTTATTAAAACATGAAAATTATTTGTGGGGGAGGGATCTTCTAAAAGGGTTCTATGCCTCTTGCTTAATAACAAGCTGGGAGAAAACATTAAAAAAACATAAAATAATGATTATCAGTCCCATGACGGTGTATGGTCATAGGGCTGCTAAGCACCTGACCAGCACTGTGCTAATGATTGGTGAATGATCTTTCAGTTCATTCAGTGTTTTAATTGTTTCACCCTAAGCAAGGTGATAATGCAACTAGAGCACAAGAGGTTACAGGGAGTGAAAGAGAACAAAAAGACTGAGGAAAGGAGAAAAACAAAAAAAAAATGGGGGTTCAAGAAGACAAGATGACGATTGATGTTGCATTTAGATTTTTGAAGATTGTAGTTATCAAGGAAGCAAGAAATTGGAAGGGAGTTCCACAGGTGGGAAATGTGAGAAAAACTTAGAATAGAAGTGGTGGATGCATCTAGCTAGTTCAACTGTAAATCTAGTAGCATGCTTAGTCATGTAGTCGGCACCAGGAAGGGGGGGGGGCTCATCAGAACAGTTGATGTGAAATTTCAGAATGGATTTGTTTTCTATGACTTAACCCTTTGCAGGCTATTTAAAGCCAGAAAATATTTTTAGATTACCAGTTTTTTTTTTTTTTTTTTTTTTTTTAGATAATAATTTTGAAGGATTAAGAAAAAGACAAAAAAAAAAAAAGGAACAGGGTTCAAGAAGACAAGATGGCAATTAGTGATGCATTTACATTTTTGAAGATTTTAGTTATCAGGGGAACAAGAAATTGCAAAGGACTTTTACAGGTGAGAAGTGCAAGAAGACTGTGAGACCTAGTTGCCAATCCAGTAACAATCTTAAATTCATATAATTGTGGCACATTTAGCTCATCAGAACAGTTGCCATGAAAATATTTGTAGAAAAGACAAAAGGAAGCCATGTCACGTCAGTGAGAAAGTGATTGAAGTTGAGATGTCAGGACCAAACACATTACAGACCCTTTGGATTTTGTGAAGAATCTCGAGACGTACAGCAGGAACATCGGACCAGATATTTGTATGAACAAATGGTAGATTTTGAAATCTGCAAGATGAATTCTGATGAGAGAAATTTTCTGGTACAACATTGTGAATAAAATTCCCTTGCATTAGATGTAGCAATTGATTTGATATAATTACTCCACTTTGCTACATCTGATTGATTTTTTTTTTTTTTTTATACAGCTTATCAACTTTAGCTACATCTAAGAAATTCAAATACTAATACTACTCTCTAAATATCATGTCCTTTCAGGATGTAGGCAATTATGGTGCTCTGCAGATTTCTTTCTCTCTTTACTTTTTTTTTTTTATTTTTTTTTTTTTTTTATTATAATCTGTGAATTCTCATAGACTCTTGAGAAAATATAGTAGAGTGGTTTCCTGTTGCCTTCTCCATAATTTTGAATCGTCTTTTTCCTAGATGATCTGTAACCCCAGGTTTAGAGATCTCAGTCTACCCTGCTATTTAACTTTTCACAGCTGGGAAGAAAAGAAATGAATTCATCTCTTATAACAACTAAGAAACTTGAGGTACCTTGAAGTACCCGACTGGTGGCTAACATCTCTACCAGACGTACGAGTTGACAATTGAACTTGTTTCAAGCTCAGAAGGGCATAAAAAGAATCAAGATCAACATATAAACACTTCCGTAGTTTGTTTTTGTACATTATGTTTCAGATGTGTTTATTTGTTTGAAAAAGATACTTTTAATAAAATGTATATACACGTCTATCCTGGGGAAGGGGTTAAAATTAAATGAAATTATTACCTTCTGTATTTACATTTGGAATCTACTGCCAGTAAAATGTACATGTGTACTAATTACAATGAATTTTTTTTTTTTTTTTTTTTTTTTATTTATACCCTTTCTTTATATAGGTAGAGATGCTAAGTGTGCATTTCATGTCCCTGATGCATAAAAATCTTAAAGGACCTAGTAACTTTCCCATCTGTGCATCCTGTGGACGCAACTAAAGTTTCCCATGAAACTTTTAATTAGTTCTTTCCTTTCTTTCTTTCGCTTACTCTTTCCTTTCTTCATTAGGTGGCAGGAAATAGACATCAATGTTGCCTTACCAGAAAATTTCTTGGTTTGTTTTTCTTTTTAATTTATTTTTTCTTTGTTTTTTTTTTTTTATTTATGCCTGAACTCATTGAAGTTTGCTGACCATTGCTTTAAGTACTGTTTTTAAATTTATTGATCCAATTGAAAAAAAAAAAAAAAATTTTGTTTATTTTTTTTTTTTTTTTTTTTTTTTTAATTGAACTACGATTAATGTAAATGATATTTTTATTTTGAATTTCTCAATTTAATTTTTAAAAAAAGAAGAAAAAAAATTTTGTCAATTTTAGTGATTCGGCATGATAAAAATTGTTTTTTGAAATGATGTTAAAAAAAATAAAAACTAGCCCTGCAGTTTAACAAATTTATTATGAAATTTTAGTTGGGACCCATTGAATTTCACCCAAATCACCACCTGTAGGTCCTGGGGACTCACTACATTAAAAACCTATCAGCATCACTACATGTATTTTATTTTATTTTTTAAAATTTTAATTATTCATTACAAAAATTAGATGATAGCATTGTGGGTGGGTCTCCTTTGTTTTCTGTCAACCAATATTTTTAGACCCAGTTTACCACTGTGCAACAGAAGGCCTACATTTCAATGTAGTTTGTCAATTTCCCTTTCAAACCAATAGGTTACATATCCAGATCTAATGCTACTTGTATAATAAAACATTTTAGTGTAGATGCCGAAAGGAAGTAGATATCTTTAACTGCATGGTGGTGAGATCTTTATAGTCTAATCAATAAAACGGGCTATTGAGGATAGGAGAGATGAGTTTATTACAAAGTGAACATCTGGTGGTTGTAATAAAAAGTAACAGAAATTAAGATGGATGCAATAGTAGTCAAAAATGAATCAATTGGCCCCTGCATTTTATTGAGATGAATAAATCCAGCTTGTGTGGGTTTTCTTTGTTCCACAGAAGGTGAATTGAGGAGCGTTCCTATGAATATATATAGCACTGTCAGGAGTGTTTGCAATGTGTTTGGATTGGTAATTCCACCTAGAATTGATGTAATGACTGTTCTGTGAAGATGTTAAGATATAGCCATCAACGCAGAATTGGGAAAGTAAGAGAAAGGACAGAGATGAAAGACGTGTTTTATTACTTCTTGGATGAAATGGTGTGTGTGCATGCTTGTTGATGCTCCTTTATTTCAGAAGATAGCTGCTGAAAAAAAATTATTTGGACAGATCTTAGAAATAGGGTCTCAAATGGGGGGGGATTCTATCATAACAGTGCCAGTTAACAATCCATGGTATTAATGGCATAATGTAATTGCAAGAAACGGAGCAATTTGAAATTGAGACAGGAGACCTGTTTTTTAGCTTTTTTCTTTTTTTTTTAAATTCCAAACTGGAATACTTAAAACCAAAGTTTCAAAAACTTAGGCCTCAAAGAATTTGAAAAGTACTTATTTCTTTAACATTTCAACTACTCTGCCACCTGTTGTGCAGGCTTGGTACTAAACAAAATAGTGGGACAATACAAGGTGTTTCAAAAACCTATGTCACATTCTAAGAACTCATATCATGAACTAGGAGGCACGGTGGTGTAATGGATA